AGGTTTTCCTAAAAATTTCCATCGTTTGCTACACACAAGACCTGACTCGACCCAGCCGGTATGGCGTTTTTACATTCTAGCGCTTAGATCCTCTGATCTGGCCATATTTTCCGATCATAACTTCGATCCACAGCACCCAAGCAAACCCTACTCGTAAGATCAGGACCATCCTATCAGTTGACTCGCGATCTTAGCGACTCTGAATCTGGCAATTAGCATGTACTACCTCCGTCCCACTATGTTTGGGACAATTTGGTTTACGATGCTTGACCGACAATAAAGCAAACAGATCCCTGTCCGCACTCAAATTATTTTTAGGAAAAATTTTTACATATTCATAAACTACGATAAAAACTTTACTAAGTCGCAAAAACCAGAATCAAATTTGATAAAAATTTGATGTATAAAGTAAGAGATTAAGAGTGATTTGTGTTGACCAAGTGAATAGTGTCTGGGACAATCTTAGCGGGACGGAGGGAGTATTACTTTGGTTTTTCTTTTAAGTTGAATACACAATTCTGTTATTGCCAACAGTTGAAACATGCATGAGATGTTCATGTTGGGTAAATAAAAAGCTGGCAATATGCTGGGGTATCTGCAGGTTAATGCCATCCAGATGAAAGAAACTGTTGAGGAAAACTTGAGCACCACAGAAAGAGTATTCCAAGACCGCCAGTATCAGGTTTTCCTTCTTACTCAGCTATTGTAAATTTGTTGTAATCTGTAAATATTATACTAGTTACTGCTCCCCCAAATCCACAAATCCTCAAACTGACTAACAAACACTTGGTTTTCATTTTGAGATCTTAGAGTTGTAATGCAATATTCTTTTTCAATTATGCCTGCAGGTCGATGCTGCAATTGTTAGGATAATGAAAACCAGGAAAGTCCTCAGTCACACTCTTTTAATAACTGAGCTCTTTCAGCAGGTGAGAGCATTGTTTCACTTTTCTTCATCATAGTGTTGGCTAACCCCATTTTATGATTAGTAATTGTGGTGACAAATAGATGAGATAATTACTCAACCATCACCACATCACACGAATGATTGATTATGGCTGCTTACAGTGTCCTAAAAAGCACTAGGCGGGTGTGGTATAGTGAAAACTGAAAACTAGTGCTAAGCTGGGACTGGGGTGGTAGGAGGATTGAGCAAGGGATAGCAGGCGGTGATTGTCAGAACATAGCTGCTATCGTGCTTAGCATCTATGTTGTGGCTTATCAACGCTACAGTTAAAGCCACTTCTATCATACTGATCGTTATTTTGTACTTTTGGCGACAGCTTAAGTTCCCAATAAAGCCAGCAGACTTGAAGAAGAGGATCGAAAGCCTGATAGACAGAGAGTACTTGGAGAGGGATAAAAGCAATCCTCAGATATACAATTACCTTGCCTAGACTAGGCCTTTTCTCATGTGATTTTATTTTCAAATTTTCTATTCGAACTTCAATAGTTCTATGGCAGGCAGGCGGGCAGGTGTTCTACCGACCCAAGATGATGTGTACAGATACATGCTCCGTCTTTTATATGTATTAACCCAACTACTGTGTAAATCATACTTGAGATGACTGTACCAACTCATATCTGTAATTATTATGACAATCATGCCTGGAAATGCCTTGTGGATTGGAATTACCACTCTTTGGTAATATGTATGATTTGTGAGCAAGACACTTGGCTAGTTCTGAGTCTTCTGACACTAAAAATGCAAATGACCGAACTAGAGAAGTATCCTTTTTGGTTTACGAATATGGGTAAAATCCATATCAATAATCCCCACTTCATACATTTCTACAACAATAATCCCTACATAGGATATTAATAAAAATAATCCGAACCGGTAAATCACTTCATATAAATAGATGAAACCAGGGGCGTCTTTAGCATTTCGGAGGCCCTAGACAATTACTCCCTCCGGTTCTAAATAAACTTCACACTTTCCTTTTTGAGATGGTCCAAAATAAATTCACACTTCCTTATTTCCTTATTCGGCAAAGAAATCTACATCAAAACAGTGTTAACAGTACTAAACAGTGCCAAACAGTGTCTCAAAAGTGCCAAACAGTGTCAAACAGTGTCTCAACCGTGTACTCTACAGTAAAGTCGACTTTATTTCCTTAATAAAGTCAAACACTGAAGTTTAAAAAGAACCGAAGGAAGTATGTAACACTGAAGTATATTCTTGTGGATGCTTTTACTTGGATGGTTTTCGGTCCCAGACCAAAACAGACCAAACTTGGATAATTATAAAATACACAGAGACTAGACCAGACCAATTCACACCAAACATGAGATTTACAAAATTTTAGTCCAAGTAAAAACATCTAAGTAATATCACATACAAAACTTATATACGGAGTATTTTTTTAATATATTAGTAGAAATAAAATTTTTAAAACCATAAATAACAGGTTTACAAGTTTACTTACTATACAAAAACATGAATTAAAGAAAGTGATTGATAAAATAATAATATCAATAATAATTACAATAAGTTATGATAAAAATGAAGTGAGATTTATTCACCAAGTACGGGTGTAGTCAACGTACTATGAAACTCAAAGGTAAATCCCAGTATCCCACACCGAATTTATACAAGGTATTGCACCTGCTCTTCTATATATAAAAAAAGAGCTTCACTCGCAATGCTTGCTCAGTTCTCTCTCGCTTCGAATCAGTAGCTGTAGGCCGGCTCTTTTTTTAGCCTAAATGGTCAAAGCTATTTGGTTTTAGAACACTGCATAATGCATATTACTAATTAGGGGTTTTCATCTTTTTGGAGGCCCCATTGGCATGTGAGGCCCAAGGCATTTGCCTTGCCTAACTGCCCCCATGGACGCCACTGGATGAAACTAAACGGAGTCAAACTTTCCGTTGATACAAATCACAAACCCACCACCTCTCTGTGTTCTCGTCCATAGCTTAGCTAGAGCACTTTCTCCCCTTTTTATCATTAAATATTTAAATATCTAATCCTAACTGATCCATCAATTTTGAGAAGTCAAAACACCACATGTCCAAGTATTGAATTATTTCCAGAAAACTCTTTAAAGATCACATGTTCAAGTACTCAATGATTTCTAGAAAACTCGATCTTTCTTGAGAGCTAATTTTAGTGTCAATACCTGGACAGCTAGACCCTCTATTCGATGATCAAACAAGATGAGTGACCAAGTAAGATTAAACGTGATGACAATAGTAACACTAATAAATAATAAATTAATAATACAAGTTTGTCTGTTCATAATACAATGTTGTTTGGTTGTTTGGTGAGGTTGAAAGAGACCTCAAGAGGTAGAAGAATAAGATAAGGGAGAGATGAGGCTGCAGCCTAAGAAAAGAGAAACTGGTGAGCTGCGGAAGAAGTAAGTTGGGATTCGTGCTAAATGGACAGCAAGGTAATATAAAACGGAAGTGTTATCTCCATCTCATTTAATGTATTTACGTGAATGACTTAATCAGTTTGGATTATTTTTATCAATATTTGTAGTACGGATTAATATTGTAGAATCGGATAAAGTATGGATTATTAGTATGAATTTCTCCAATATGAAATGTAGTGGTCAGCTAGCCAGCCAGCTAACGCTCTTTCAGTATAGTAATCAAATACGGAGTGTTGACGTTAATGCCCTCAGTCCAAACGTCCAACACACTACCTTTGGTGGGTAGGGGTGGACTCGGGCCGGGCGGTCCGAACCGGAACCGGCCCGGCCCGGCCACTGTTTGAACCGGCCCGGCCCGAACCGGACCCGGGGTTACCCGGGCCGGTTCCGGGCCTCCCCTACCTTGAACCGAGGCCCGGCCGGTTCAAGGCCCGAACCGGGCCCGGCCCGAACCGAGTCCACCACTATTGGTGGGTGATCAATTTTAATGTACGGAATGAGTAGAACTCTACTTAAGAACAGCTCTTGTTCGATGTGTTTAGAGCTCTAAGACTAATGTCATTGTAACTTACGTTTAAAAATTGGATACAAATTATTATGATTTTATTACTACTCTAGTCACTAATCACATTTTTGTAAACAATCTTTATTTTAGTCATACTTAACCCGCACACACTGCCGCCGTAAGTCAGCTGGCTTGGGTCGGGTTCGAGTCTCACTGGACATCTTTGTATGGCTAAAGACTGGAGATTATTTTGCTACATTTTTGTTCTTTTTCAGATAAAACCAAATAGAAGACACAACTATTCGTTTTAAAAGAAAGGTCATGAACTTTCTTTTAATAGGTGTCTTTTGGGTTAGAGACTCCTGGCCAGAGTTCTATAAATACCCGCCTTGTCTTCAATTTTGGGACATCCGAAAATCAACACTCAATCCTCCATATTCTCTCATCTTTCGTGCATCTTTGAGTTCGCCGGAATCGCTTTGGGAGCGAAGAACCGTTCTATCCTGGGAGACGCTTGCTACGTGTGTCGGGCAAAAACGTCTTAAGGAAACAACGTTTACGTTGGGCTCGGTTAGAAGTAATCTTACGTTTTTCCTTAATTATATTTATTGATTATTTATAATTTATTATCTCATTTACATGCAGAATATTAGTACACGGATAACAATCTTAAGACATTTTTGTTTTAATCGTATATTCTGCATGGTTATTTGTGTCGGCTGCATTCACATATTTATACATTTTTGCTTTAATTCCCATGTCTCGGTTACATATTAAACTTGTTAGCTAATATGGTTATTATCTTTTGTTTTTTTATTTATTTGATTTCCTCTTATGTTGATGTACTTTGTGGTGTACGTAGTGTTGAAGTTAGTGGTATGGTGACTCAAAGAATGGAACAAAAAGTCTATCTAAAATCCTGTGTTAGGATATTTTATTAAGGCCCTACTTATCTTCTTATCTTTTCTTACAACCTAGCCACTAGGAAGAAAGAGTGTAAGACCACTTGCCCACTTGCTTAGCAAGTGGATGGTTGTTTCCTACTGAAAACTTGTAAGACTTGGAATCTATAAATGCTGAAAGATGATGAAATAAAAATTCAGCAAGCTATTATCAAAAGCCTTCTTCTTTCTCTTTACATTTTTCTCTATTCTTTGCATTCTTGCTCTTAGTCTAACACACAAAATTCCTACAGTTGGTATCAGAGCACTTTAAGTGATCTTTGAGAGGCTGTGAGGTGAGTGAAACACGAGTGAAAGTGAGGAAAACAAACTGAGAAAAGAAAGGGAAAGTGTTGATGGCTGAATCAAAAGGTTTCATCATTGCTCCTCCTATTTTTGCAGGCCAAAATTACAATATTTGGGCTGTGAAAATGGAAGCTTTTTTGAGAGCTCATGATTTATGGGATGTTGTAGAAACAGATGTAGATCCAGAGCCCTTGAGAGCAAATCCCACAATTGCTCAAATGAAGCAACACTCTGATGCTGTTTCGAAGAAATTCAAGGCGGTGTCTTACCTCCATGCAGCTTTGAGTGAAGATATGTTTGTCAGGATCATGACAAACAAAACAGCAAAGAGAATTTGGGAAAAACTTGCTCAAGAATTCCAAGGAGATGCTAGGGCCAAAGGAATGCAGATTCTCAATCTAAGAAGGCAGCTTGAAACTCTCAAAATGAGAGATAATGAACTGGTGAAAGATTTTTCTGGTCGAGTACTAAAGGTTGTTACTCAAATGAGACTACTTGGAGAAGATGTCACTGATAAGAGAGTTGTGGACAAGGTGATGTGTTCTGTTCCAGAAAAGTTTGAGCACAAGATTAGCTCGCTTGAGGACAGTAAAGACATGTCAACCTTCTCTCTTGCAGAATTAGTCGGTGCACTTCAAGCCGTTGAAGACAGGCAAATCATGAGGAATGAAGGCTCTGCTGAAGGAGCCTTGCTTGCTCAATCCAAAGGAAAGCAGCCGAGGCAAGTTTCCTTTGATGAAAAGAAAGACAGAAAATTTCAGCCCGGAAATTCTAGCAAAACAAGAGGGAAGAGAGCTACTTATCCTCCTTGCCCTCACTGCAAAAGAACAAACCACAGTGCTGATTATTGTTGGGTCAGACCTGGTGTGCAGTGCAAACAATGCAAAAAGTTCGGGCATGTTCAGAAAATCTGTAAGTTCAGAAATGATCAACAACAAGCTCAGAATGCTGAAGAACAAGAAGAGGCGGAAGAGAACCTTTTCATGGCTTCAACAGTTCAAAGAGGCTTGGTGAATCATCCAAAATCTGATTCATGGTTGATAGACAGTGGTTGCACAAACCATATGTCTCCTGACTTGAGTATTTTCAAGTTCCTTGATGAGAACTATCACTCAAGAGTGAAAGTGGGAAATGGTGAATTTCTTACAGTCAAAGGAAGAGGCACTGCTGCAATCAAAACTAGTTCAGGTACTAAAGTTCTTCAAGACGTGCTTTATGTGCCTAATATTGCTCAGAATTTGATTAGTGTGGGGCAACTGGTTGATGCTGGTTTCTCGTTGGCCTTCCATGATAATATTTGTGATATTAGTGACAAGAGTGGCGTGGTAGTTATGACTATTAAGATGCATGATAGAAGCTTTCCTCTAGAATTGAAGAATGGAGATCATGTAGCCTATCCTAGTGCAGTTTCTAAGTCAAAATTACTGCATAGTAGGCTGGGTCATTGTAGCTACACAACTATGTCACAAATGCACAAGCATAGCATGGTTGAAAACATGCCTTCCGTTGTTAGTGAAGATGGCGTGTGTTGTGTTTGTGAGAAAGGAAAATCCAGCAAGAGTTCATTCAACAAAGATGGAGTGAAGAGGGCCAAAGATAAGCTGGAGCTCATTCATTCTGATATTTGTGGTCCTATGAGTGTTGAATCACTAAATGAAAGCAAGGTCTACAAGCTAAATAAAGCTCTTTACGGGCTTAAACAAGCACCTAGGTCTTGGTATGATAGACTTGATGCTTGCTTGATTGAAATGGAGTTTGAAAAGAGTAAAAATGAAGCCACACTATACGTGAAGGAATTGAATCAAGACATCTTGATAGTTTCAGTGTATGTGGAGGACTTGTTAATCACTGGAAGCTCCATAAAGATGATAGATCAGTTCAAGTCAGAGATGAAGAAGAAATTTGACATGAGCGACTTAGGCTTAATGTCTTATTTCTTAGGACTTGAAGTGGTACAGATGGACTGTGGAATTCTGATCCATCAAAGGAAGTTTGCTAATGAAGTGTTGAAGAAGTTTGCTATGTCAGAATGCAAGCCAATTGGGACACCATTGGCGACTGGTCAAAAATTCTTCAAAGAGGATGGCACTGAGAAAATTGACAGTAAAATATATAGAAGCTTGATGGGGAGCTTATTGTATTTAACTGCATCAAGGCCTGATCTTGTGTTCTCAGTCAACCTACTCTCTAGGTTCATGCATTCTCCAAGTGAGCAACATTTCAAAGCAGCAAAACGGATTTTGAGGTATGTGCAAGGCACTGCTGATTATGGTGTGTTTTATGGCAAAAATCCAGTTAATCTAATTGGATTCACTGATAGTGATCTTGCTGGCTCTGATGAAGAAAGCAGAAGCGTGTTTGGCTACTGTTTCTCTCTTGGTTCAGGCATGATTAGTTGGAAGTCAAAGAAGCAATCTGTTGTTGCTCAATCAACTGCTGAAGCTGAATATATTGCAGCTTCCAAAGGAGGAAATCAAGCTGTCTGGCTAAGAAAAATTCTCGTTGATTTGAAATTGGAGCAAAAGAATGCAACTGTGATGTTCTGTGACAGTAAAGCCGCCATTGCCATCATCAAAAATCCAGTGCTTCATGATAGAACGAAGCATTTTAAAATCAAGTTTCACTCCGTAAGGCAGCTGCAAAACGAAGGTGATATTGATCTACAATTTTGCTCATCCGAAGAGCAAATTGCTGATATACTCACTAAGATTCTGCCAAAACACAGGTTTGATGTTCTGTGTGAAAGACTTGGAATGCGAAGACTTAGCTCCATGGGGGAGTGTTGAAGTTAGTGGTATGGTGACTCAAAGAATGGAACAAAAAGTCTATCTAAAATCCTGTGTTAGGATATTTTATTAAGGCCCTACTTATCTTCTTATCTTTTCTTACAACCTAGCCACTAGGAAGAAAGAGTGTAAGACCACTTGCCCACTTGCTTAGCAAGTGGATGGTTGTTTCCTACTGAAAACTTGTAAGACTTGGAATCTATAAATGCTGAAAGATGATGAAATAAAAATTCAGCAAGCTATTATCAAAAGCCTTCTTCTTTCTCTTTACATTTTTCTCTATTCTTTGCATTCTTGCTCTTAGTCTAACACACAAAATTCCTACACGTAGGGCTGGACTCGGGCCGGGCGGCCCGACCCGGGACCGAACCGGCCCGGTCACTGTTTGGCCCGGCCCGGCCCGTGGCCCGGTGGGTCCACCGGTTCGGTTTGGCCCGGCCCGGGTGCTGGGCGGTCCGGGCTCGGGCCCAGGTTTTGGTGAACCGGCCCGGATTTTAATTTTTAATTTTTTGAATTTTTTTTAAGTTTTAGGTTGGATTAGGTATTTTGGGCCATTTGAGGTGGTTTGGGATGGTTTGGGGTTGAGGGGGAGGGGTAGGGGATTAAATAGGAGAACAAAAAAAAAATAATTGGGCCGGTTCGGCCCGGCCCGGCCCGGCCCGGTTTGGCCCGGAACCGGAACCGGCCACCGGCGGTTCGGGCTCGGGCCTCCCCTTTCCTGGCCCGAGGCCCGGCCGGGCCCAGGCCCGAACCGGGCCCGAACCGGCCCGAGTCCAGCCCTAGGTGTACGTGTGCTAGAAAGTGGGGAGGTTTTTTCATCCACTTAATCTAACTACATTCCCCTTTCATTTTGCTATAAAATGAATGACTTGGACGTAGGTGAAGATTAAGACGGTTTTTCCTTCTCATTGGAGCATTCTACACATTATGAATGAATATATGAATACATTTGATCTTCTCTTTTATGCTTGTAATGTTTCTGTACCTGCAAGCATGGGCGGAGCTAGGGGAGGGCCATCCCTGGCCCTGGCCCAGCCCAAATTTTAAAAATGCTTGTATTTTTAGTGTAAAAAATTAAGTGTAAAAAAAAATCAAAAATATTCTTTGTACCGGCCCAGTGCGGCCCAGTGCCTTGGCTCCGCCCCTGCCTGCAAGATTACGTATGCATGCATGAATCAAAGTCAGTAGTACATCAGTCTCGTACTTTGGTATTTGCATAATTGCATGGCAATTGGCTAATTGCTATTAGAGTTAAAATTTTACTACTTTTGTCTCACGTTTTACAACGTAGTCCATTTTGTTTAATACGTAGTATAATTTTATCCGTTTGTCTTAAAAAAACTATGTTTATCGGTTCCTTTCTTTTTTTAAATCAACGTGTCTATTGGTATATGTCTCATGTCGTTTGATATCGGATTATCGGTGACAACCGTGCACACAGGGGCGGAGTCAGAAAAATGGTTCAGCGTGGTCGAAATCAAATTTACATAGAATCAAAATGGTAGATTATTTTTAGACAATACCCGAATTGAATGTAGCTTTGATAAATGATAGTTTAAGTGAAACTAATAGAGTATATGTAGTTAATATACTTCGTATATGTCACATATATTATAAACTTGTTTTATACGGGTTGAGTTGAGTACCTCGGATTAGACCCATTGTCTTACCCTAGTACTCTATGGTTCTTTTCGATATTACTCGGTTTAGTATCAAAATTTCTTACTAGAAAAGAATCATTTATTGAGGAGGCACTCGTAGCAGTAAGATATGTTGTCTTTGCTCTGTCCCTAAGTCATGTCACGTAAGTAACGAGTGCATTACATGCTATTTTGTGAATATAATTAATATTACGCATCACAATTTTACTAATTTCAAACTTAAATAGTGCTGATTTTGCAGAAGTCGTAACTTTTTACTCGTAATGAGTTATGAGAGCCATAATATATCAATCGAAGATATCTAGCTCAGAGCTCTACGCTCTTAAATTTTCAGCGGTGTCGGCTGACCACCCTGACCCCAGTAGCTCCGCCCCTGCGTGCACATGAATGCTTATTTAAGTCTGAATCATTGTTTACCTAATTGCTTATATGATATTCCGTATTATAAAAAAATACCTGCTTTGATTCAGTGATACCATAATATCCCCTACTGTCATTTGTCTACTGCAATCTTATTCCATTGTCAACTTACTATTCTCTGATTCGTTTACTATATTCCCATGCGTTGTTTCTGTGAAATAATGGGAAAGGGGTACTCCAATAGGAGTCCTGACAGATATATTTATAATAGAAGAATTGCCAAAATACAAAGTATTCCTAAATAGATATTAGGCAGATTCCTAAATATCTATTAGGTAGATTCCTAATTATATTAGCCTATTACACCCCCTCAAACTGTGCGGGAGATACAACGCGCAGGTTGTCTTTTAAAAAATGAAATTGCAAACTAAAAAAACTCTTAGTAAATATATCCGTGAGCGGAAGATTAGAAGGCACATCTTTGATAATATGATCTCCATGAGAATATATGTCTGCAACAGCAAGCGGCGAACTCAACAGCGCGCTTGAAGCAAGCACCGTGGTCAGCGACGCAGAGAAGGTGGGCTGCGCGGACATAGGCAGCAGCAGGCGGCGAACTCAACGGCATGCTGGAAGCAAGCACCGTGTTCAGCGACGCGAAGGAGGTTATCTGCGCCATATTAGCCGCGCTCATCTTCAAAGGATTGGAGACTACCGTAAATGTGGCGGCAGTCGACCCCGAGGTGGCGGCGGCTATAATAAGGTTCATGAGAACCGAAAAAAAAAGAAAAAGAATTATTGTCTATTAGGTAGATTCCTAATTATATTAGCCTATTAGCTTCTCTTCCATATTATTGTCTGCCATATTCTATTCTGTAAGTGCTTCTGTTTCTTTTTAATACTTCAAAACTCGGTGCTTCTGCCATATTTGCATACTTTATATATAATTATATTCGGTGCTTAATTTTGTTTAAATACTTTGTAATAATTCGGAGTATTTAGTAATACCACATTATCTTTTCTGTTAGTGCTTCTGTTTTTTGTTAATATTTTTTGAATAATAAATTCGTAAATACTTTTGTGTATATATTTTGTTTGCGTAAAATCACAAATCGTCTGTTTTGTGTAAACAGAATGGGAGACGAAAGTAGCATCACTCTTCCAAAACTATCTCCGCTCAATGCTGTCCCGTTCAGTTCTTCTTATGGGGAGAAACTAGCAAGTTCAACGGTCTCGATTTTAAACGTTGGCAACAAAAAATGTTGTTTTATTTAACAACGTTGAATTTGGCTAAGTATCTCTCCGAAAGCCAACCTCTTTTAGACGAAGGTGAAACTGATAAGGAAAAAGTAGCCGCGGTGGATACTTGGAAGTATTTGGATTTCTTGTGTAGAAATTATGTCCTAAACATACTTGATGACTCCTTATACACTGTGTATGCCGATATAAAGACGGCTAAAGAATTGTGGGAATCACTTGAGAAAAAATACAAGACTGAGGATGCCGGCAACTAGAAATTTATTGTCGGACATTTCTTAGACTTTAAAATGGTTGATCACAAATCGGTTGTTTCTCAACTAGAAGAATTCCAACTTATTCTTCATGAAATTCACGCTGAGGGTATGTCCCTTAGCGAGTCCTTCCAAGTGGCTGTGGTGGTTGAAAAATTACCTCCCAAATGGAAAGACTTCAAGAAGTACTTGAAGCATAAGCGCAAGGAGATGTCCCTAGAGGAGCTCATTGTCCGTTTAAGGATAGAGGAGGATAACTGCAAATCCGAGCATAAGGCTGGATGATCTAATTCCATGGAAGCTAAAGCAAACATGGTGGAAGCAGGATCCAAGAAAGGGAAAAAGAGAAAGCACAGTGACGAAGGAACAAGTGGAGGGAAGCCTTTGTCAAAGAAGTTCAAAGGAAAGTGCTACAATTGTGGCAAGCCCGGTCACCGTGCTAAGGACTGTCGTGCTCCTAAGAAAAAGAAGACCAGACAAGTCAATATTGTGGACGACCTCTCCGATGACATGGATGAAATGAACCTATGTGCCGTGATATCTCAATGCAATTTAGTGGGTACACTAAAGAATGGTGCATTGACATTGGCCGAACATGAACTTTCGTGTGTGTGTGTGCGTGTGTGCGCGTGCGTGTGTGCGTGCGCGTGTGGACGAGGTCAGCATTGGTTCAAAATGTTACACATTATGTATTTGTATTTGTGACCATTGTTCAATATATATTTGTATTTGTGTGTGTGTATATATATATATATATATATATATATATATATATATATATATATATATATATATATATATATGTTGGATGTTGAGTGAAAGAGGATATAAAGGATGAGGGCACATTATAGGTTTTCTTGATAAGTTTAGCATTTGGTGAAAGTCTACCAAACAGGCATATTAGCTCTCCAACAACATCCAAACCAGATGGATCAAGTAGACATTACTACTACTCATCATTCAAGAAAAACGCTTAATTCGTGCTTTTATATATGGGCTGAAAGATTTTAAACAAGTCAATATGTTAGTTATTGTTTACAGGAATATTCACAACCTCAGGTAACAACAAATGCGAGAACAAAACTTGTGGCAGAGAAATACATATACATATATCTACCTGGTAATGGGTATATACACTTCCAAATCCAATGACAAAAAGAAAGACACAAATTTCATCTGATTCTGAACCTTCGAATATCACACCCCGTCTTAAGGAATATTCCACTTCTGCATCATAAAACCTCTGCCAGGGAAATGCACGTGGAGCTGGTTTAATGGTGGCCGCCTTCCATCAGATCAGCGAGGGTGATCCTCCCACAACTGCCTGAATCCAACCGTTCAAACTGTTTGCAGATAAGAAATATGTCTTTCTCTGATACCTTTCCCATCTCCTTCAGCTTGTATACTATGTATTCAGATTTACTGCCACAAATCAAACCACTATGAAAATTGATATCATCGTTTCATTGACACTTCTAATTTTAATCTCATCTATTTTAAACATTAATCACAGGCTCTGACAGTCCGTATTCGATTTCACATTCAATTCATTAACGAGGCTTTATTGTTGTGAAATTTTACCATAATGTTACACCTCTCCATAGAGTTCTGGCCTAATTTTACCTTATCAGGCTTAATCAGAAAGACATTAATGAAATTTAACTAACCTTCAGGTATTAACACTTAAATTTAGGGTATGCTTGGATCCTGTCGGAAAATGTTAGCGATAAACAAACAAAAGGCCAAGGAAAATTATGGGAAAACTATCGAAATAGGACTAATTTTTTTTGGAAATTCCAAAACAGAACTGTTATATTTTTCTTCCTGAAATTGTAGTATGGCATTATTTACTCTCATCTTGGAGTCATTACTTTCATAATAGTTGCAGTACTAGGCAATAACATGACAATATTGATTGTCATTAATGGGCAATTTTTTTCAATCATGACAGCAACGACTCTTTTTTCGGGAATAAAAACTTAGTACTCCTATTTTCGCATTACAGAACGTTTTTACTCCTATTTAGAGCAATTTCCCGAAAATTATTCTCCTATGTTTGGTTTACCTCTGGAAATTTAGGGTAAGTCTCTCTCTCTCTCTAATATATGTGTGTGTGTATACTATCTCCGTTCTTAAATAAGTGCAACATACCAAATTTTACATTATTCACATGTTCTACTTTGACTACATTTTATATATTAATGTATTAATATATATTTTTGAAAAAAATATTACTAAATTTGTCTAATTGCAAATTTTCAAAATCTGATTTTTTAAATTTTTTTACTAATAGAGATTTATATATATTAATGGTCAAAGTTGTGTCTCGGCAAATATGAAATGTTGACTGTTGCACTTATTTAAGAACGGAGGAAGTATATAATATGCTCAAGTGTGCAGTTATATATATGGATGCACTTCATGGGACTTTTCTCTATACCTAAACCCTCCTTATCTATACCTTGAAGCAAATCTTAATCACTTGGTGGCTGGCTGGTGATGAACAGTATTGAAGAACAAACTTTTCCTCCCTCAGGCTATATCTTGGTTTTTATAGAAAGCATACCCATTCCCTCGTTATCAAAGCTCATCCGAGCCATCACAAAACACCTGTTCTAGTGGTCATCGGGTCTGACCGGCACTAAACTTGCTGAACTATATTGCAGCTTAATAATTAAGTCAGTTTTTAACTGAATGAGAAAATCGTTCTTTCAAGTAAGTCATAGATAAACAGGAGTTAATGGCTGAACGATTAAATCCGTTATTCTCATTAAGTCGCAAGTAAACTCATTATTCCGTACATTTGCTAAATTCTTCGCGTACTTGAGGTAAGGCTTTTGCCACCCTCCTTGTAATCTTTCTCCTTATCAATAATATTTTCCATTTCTACATAAAAACAAACACACACACATATATAAATAATTTTCTTGAGGTGTAGCTGATCCCCCCATATTTTCTTTCCTCCCAAGTTTCTTCTATGATTTCCAGGCTAAGTATTTGAATCACTGAAGTCCTATGTATTTTCCCTAGCAACTTCCGTGTTTCAAATGGACCTTCAAAATCTCCTAAAATTAGAATTTGTGACAATAGTTAAGATTCAGCGATCTATTGCATCAATTTGTAACATGTAAGTTATTAACTTTTGAGGAGATGAAAGGACGAAATCTTGTGGAAGGAAATTGTGATGAAGGAAGGAAGTCACTCCGGATTAAAATATATATTCACACGGAAATGTCAATTTTGCTTATGCATAAAATGGTATGAGTTTCCAGTGCCGCAAAGGCTCCCACCTACGGTGGGGGTAAGGGGGGTCGGATGTACGCGGTCTTACCGTTATACTAAAGCATATAGAAACTATTTCCGGATGACCCATGATGAAAATCGTGTAAAAAATGCATGGATTGAGTGTTGCTTCATAACAAAGAAGCGCAAACCGTTAAGTGAGTCATTTTGATTTATTCCATGATATTCCCAAGCAAAAAAAGAGTGTCTTTGGCTCCATTGGAAATGATGGAAAAATGAACGCTCAATTTATCCTCATGCAGGATTCACTCTCTCTTCCACTCAAGTTCTGAAAAGTTAAATGGCTTACTCTCTCAATTTTCATATTTGTCAGATTTCCCTATTTGCTATTACAAAATCTTTGAGATTTAAGCTCCCATATTCATAAGATTCAATAAGAATGTATGCACTTGTTACATATCCTAGTAAAATCTAACTCAATGCACTTTCTGAGATGTGTAGTCCATTTCAAAAAGCACTCGTCATTACATGTAAGTGCCTACATGGGTTTGAGTGTAACACGTGAGTGTGAGGTAAACTTAACCACTAAAAAGTCTTTTGGGGTTAGACAGACTCAAGTTTACATGCTATGAAAGTCTGGTTCGATGACTTGGTGTCAGTTCCGACCCATTTTTCCACTCCTTCCATTCTCCAACCCAGTTTTAAGTTTGTGTGCATTTGTGTAACCCTTTAATTGTCTAACCCGGTTTGGACTAAGTGTTTGTTTTGAGTATCCCACTATAGTTGTCTATCGAGTCTGAGTCTAATATATATGTGAGATAAACTTTAACCCTTGGAGATTGTTTCAGGATAAATTAGACCTAATTTAACACTACCTTCCGACTTTGTCTGCCATGTTTTCATGCCTCTTATTATATGAAAAATCATTGAATTACTTTTCAGTAAAGGTTAGCATTGATATTTGTAGATTATATAATAGTCTGAAGCACCATGAACATTAACCAATTTGTCCTTGTAACTGCTACCTTAATCCACATATCTGGTCTGATTTTGTATGTGTATATTGAACAATAAGTACATGTTTTCATACTCTAGCGTTTTGGGTAAACCAGATGGACATCTCATCCAACCACACAGAAAATAGCTCTGAAATATAAACTAGTAAAGCTCATAATTTCTCTAGCAAAGTAGATGATTCAGCGCAAACTTGCCTCCATTTCAACATGTATGCCAAGCAGTTCTAAGTTCTAACAAAAGCTTTTTTTTCCTGTACACTTAAAAAATATCCCACACTTTCGGTTATTAAGATCAATGTTTAATGGCACACCAGCTTGCTCTTAAGAGCAAGAACGCTATCTAAGACAAAGACCCCATTTGGTAAGAGTTATTTGGCTGAAATGACTTCATCTTCTGAATTATCCCAAAAGAAACTGGGTCAGGTAACATCCATTTGAGCCAATTGCGTGAGTCATAACTACTCATTCTAATTGTTCTCTATGATCTAATGTGTATTCTCCTTACAAGCAGAATAAGGCAGACTAGACTTCAAAACAGAAAATAAGCCTGAGAGCAAGAAGAGGGAAAAAAACGGCTTACGTGACAAAACCATTGTTATCAATGTCGGCAGCAAGAAACTGAGAAACAGTCAAGTCCTGATCAAGCACCCATTTGGCCATCATTCGATGCCTTTTATCCACCCTTGCCTCAGCCAAGTAAAGAAAGGCTCTCGCAACAGCAAGAGTTGACACAAGCAACCAAAACGACGCGAAAGCCCGACCGGTCAAAGAATTGAATGCCCTGTCTCCGTACCCTACTGTAGTAACTGACATAACAGACAAGTAAAGTGAATCTAACCACCCGAGCCTCTCGACGAAATGCATGACTAAAACCCCCACCCCAATGCATAGAACCACAACACCCAATGCCAGCGTGACCTTCATTCGAATCCTCATCCTCCCCTTCTTCACATCTATTATGTAAGAACCGCGGTCATGCCCGCCCTTACTCTTAACAGTCTTCAGCAGATAAGACTCTTGCAAATCAAGAACGTAACTAACCATCCCACTTAACAGAATGTCAATAAACCCAAAACCGACGAGCACAAACATGACGGAGAACAGCTTAGCGGCAGGACTATCAGGAGTAATATCCCCATAACCAATAGTACACATCGTGACTATGCAAAAGTATAGAGCATCAACCACCGGATGGGTCTCAGAGCCCCTAAAATGCTCCTTAAACAAAGAATATATAGACACGCCTAGAATCAAGTAAAGACCTAAAAGCACAACAGCTTGTCTCACAATTGCAAGTTTCAATGGTGGCTTGGGAATTGCAGAGGAGTGGTGCTCAATGTCATTGATTGTCGCTAAAGCAGGGGCAGTCTTCGACCTGTGCAGATTGCTCCTAGACCATAATCTGTAATTTGAGTCCAATGTCCGTGGATTCTGGTCATTACTGGGTTTAGGGTCTGAGGGTGCCCAACAATTCAAATCAATATTGAAATTTGGGTCTATGGGATCAAGATTGGGATTCGGGTCTCTAAAAGGGTCTTTGAAGGAAGAAGGAGGAGGAGAAGCAGAACCAAATATTAGTCTATCTTTGAATTCTGAAGGTGTCAAAGGAGGTACTGTGATTTCATTGTCTTCAGGTAAAGGGCAAAGGGAAATGGGAGGTGGAAGTGGAGGAGTTATGGGTGTGGAAAAGGGAAGGAGAGGCTCTTTCTCCATCTTGATTTGCCGGTTGTATGGGTTGCCGGGACGCCGGGAAAGTAAGGTGCCGGCGAGGGGGTTGCAAACGCCTGGTTAGATACTCAATAACGACTCAAAATTCTCTCACGAAACCGTACTATAAGCTTTTAGGTACCGTACCAAAAAATTGGGTGTATGGGTCACAGGTGTACACCCTATATAATTCCCCATTTCTTATATTTTATCTCCCAACTTTTTTCTCTCCCCTCTCTTTCACTCTCTTTTCTCCACTCCTCTCCCATTTGAATCATGCGGTTCCCCCTCCTTCCTCTTTTTCTTCTTCTTCAACATCTTTGTTCTTTCTTCTTTCTTTCTTCATTTCTCCTTCTTCATCTTCTTCTTATTCTTCTTCTTTCCTTCTCTTTTTGAGGTTTTGTTCACCCTAATCATCTTCATTATCTTCATCACTATCTTCTTCTTTTTCTTTCCTTCTCACTTTTTATATTTTATCCACACAGACACTGGTATGCTATAGTGTCTGTGTACACAGACGAAAATTAAATATGTACAGACACTTTTTTATACAAGACAACTAACGTCTGTGTACACCGGCACTTGTTTTCCAACTAATTTTTTCACACCGACACTTTTTAGTCTACACAGACAAGTAGACAACTATCGTCTGTGTACACCGACACTTGTTTTCCAACTAATATTTTCACACCGACACTTTTTTGTATACACAGACTACTAACGTCTGTGTACACCGACACTTGGTTTCCAATTAATTTTTCACACCGATACTTTTTGTTTACACAGACAACTAATGTCTGTGTACACCGACATCGGTTTCCGTGCAACCAACCTGACAAATCTGGAAACTAATTTTACTCACACCAACACTTTCAAAGAAAGTGTCTGTATTTGTGTGTTTTTTGTCTGTGAGAAGGGAAAATAAATGGGTGTACCCCAGGGTGTAACCCAGGGTGTACACCAAAAACTATTGTACCATAATAAGTGTTGCGATTTTCAAAATACGATTGATATATTCTTCTTTTTGAAACAATACTTGTTCCATTAAAAAGTAGTGTCATTAATGATACTATCGCCCACTCATTAATGTTTATTTTTATGTGACACAATTTTTATAGATATAGTGATGATACCATGCACTCTGATCATGGTCCAATTATGTAACTCAACTCATAAGCGGGTCTAGCTCTTTACGGGATTAGCTTAATTAACAGGATCAACCCATCAACGAGATCAACCCATTAATCGAGATGAAGGATAAATAGCCGCTGAGCCTAATTAGGAATCAGACTCACAACAGGAATCGACAGCCAGATAGGGCTGGACAACAGACCTCGAGCCTGGACGAGTTCTAGTGAGGCCGGGATATTCCTTAGGTTTACGTGGCAGGCAATTATTCGACATAGATATTTGACAACAGGCAAAACTCAAACCGCAATCCAAGATCTAAACGGAGAAAGTATTCGCGTGAGAATCAAGATAGAAGAGGAATTCTATTTCGAGCAAGAATATAGCTCATTAATTAGCATTTATTGTATGAGATTCCTCCTAAAATACAATCTTCTAAAACCTATAAATACTCATGTACATATCTTATAAAGAGAGCCTCTTCATACGACTAAGACTATTATTACTCCCTCCGTCGCACTTTAAGGTTCCCACATGATTTACGATGTTTGACTGACTATAAGGTTAACTGATCCCTGTCATTAATAGAATTATTTTTAGTAAATAAAATTTACATATTCAGAAACTACATTAAACCCGCTACAAAACCTGCAGAAAATAATTTTAATTTCATAAACTTTCGATATAAAAAGTAAAAGATTGAGAACAATGCACGTTGACCGGAGAATAGTGTACGAGAACCTTTAAATGGAACGGAGGGAGTACTTTCTTTCATATAATCAATGAATATTTGATTGATTAAACTCTTTTCGCTGGAATTATATTCCATTAATGGTGCTTTCATTGAGAGCGTGATAAAAAATAGATGAGCTTTTTTCAAAAATAATGCTAAATGGAAAACTATATACAAAATTAAAGTTGGGTTAAAAATATATACCAATATACTGCTACTATAACTAGGGTTAATGAAAGGTGCAACTAAGGTATACAAAAATCTTTTTTTTAAATTGTTATAACTTTTATAATGTTGCTCCACATTTTATAAAAAATATACTATATCAAATTTCGTAATTTTTTATGATCTTTTATATGACACCAATATTGCATATATAAAATTTTAAAAAATATATATACATATATGAAATGAAAATCTTGGTTGTTTACATACACTTCTAGTGCGTTAATAAACATAATTTCTACTGGTTTATACAAAAATTTACCCATCAAACGAGATTTCCCTATAATTTAGAATTGTCATTATTTTCTCTCAATATGCTTTTAAAATCAATTTCTTACATTTAGACCCCGTTTGGTGACTCCCAAATTGGTTACGTTGATGGTGTAAGCCGAAAAATTGTAACTTTTGGCTTCACGCGTTGAATTGTACAATAATAAGAAAGCGTATAGTTGATGTTACTTTTCTGACTGCATTGGTTGAATTTACCATAGATGATCTTTTTAGCATTTGTTTATATAATTTTTCTTTATTTAGTTAATAAAATATATTTCAAATAAAAAAAATTCAAAAAAATCTGCAGAATCAGCCAATCAAGCCACTTTAGCCACAACTACATAAATTTTAACAAAGTTAATCAACATAATCAATTTGGGAGTCATCAAACAGGATCTAAATGTAAGAAATTAATTTTAAAAAGCATATTGAGTGAAAATAATGACAATTCTAAATTATAGCGAAATCTCGTTTGATGGGTAAATTTTTGTATAAACCAGTAGAAATTATGTTTATTAATGCACTGACAGTGCATGTAAACAACCGGGATTTTCATTTCATATATGTATTTTTTTTTTAATTTTATATATGCAATATTGGTGTCATATAAAAGATCATAAAAAATTACAAAATTTGATATATTTTTTATAAAATTTGGAGCAACATTATAAAAGTTATAACAATTTTTTTTTAAAAAAGATTTTTGTATACATTAGACCCCACCTGCTTTTGCTGCAGCTTTCATTAACCCTAGTTATAGTAGCAGTATATTGGTATATATTTTGAACTCAACTTTAATTTTGTAAATAGTTTTCCATTTAGCATTATTTTTGAAAAAAACTCAAAATAGATCCTCCCAAAACACACGAAAATTCATCAAAAGCATTCAAGAATTTTAGAGATTCAACCAAAAGGATCCCGGGAAGATGGAGATTTCTACAAAAAGAGAACAAATCAGGAGTTCTGGGACATGAGGGATTTCCGTCGACACTAGATCCGGTTGCTCTCCACCTCAGCCACGGAAATCACGGAGCTGCTGTGTTAGTAAAGCCCCCGGAACGGTGGCCGCAATAGCTGCATAAAACTGCCTGCCGGTGAGGATTCGACCGCCATAGCTGTCCGGTCAGTCACCCTGTCGCGACGCCGCCAATCATAGCTCACCATCGAGCCTTGAGAGCTCCTGCAAGAGTTCCGCCATTAATGGCCGTCCGCGGGCTCTGCTCACGGTGCAAGTGACAGCAGCATAAAAGGTCCCTAAGTCCCTCTCCTCTTCGACGACGGCGATAGCCGCCAAAACCTCCACCATCTCCGACAATCGTGCTCGAAGTGCGAAAGGTTGGATAGAGACCTAATCGCCTAAGGATGCTGGGTGGAGTCCTGTTTCTCTTGGAAAGCTATGGCGGCTCAAATCGAGTCGAATAATGTGATTTTGTATTTGTATTCGTTTAATTTTTTCTGAATACGAATCCGAATTCGAATATGAAACTAATATTATTTTTTATTTGTATTTGTTTAGTAATACGAATAGTTATTGAATCATATACGAATAACGAATCGATTTGATCATAAGTAAAATATTAGTCAAATATCATTTTTTAAAACAACTTTTCCATATCTTTTATGTTATGAATGCATGCTATGGTTTAAAATTTAATGGATCGATGCATTTTTAGGTTGTGCACGATATATTACAGTGAACTTTGTAACATTACATTTTTCTTTATGAATCGAAATTGTAAATCGAATTAAAATTATTTGTTTTGTTTATAACCCTCCTGATACTGTTGCTTTATTACAAATTGGCTTGAAATACTTATACATAAATGTATATATATGAGTTGCACTTTGAAGGTATACCTAGCTTTTAAAAATTATTATACTGTTATTACTACTATTATCACTGTTACTATTACTATTAATATTATCACTATTATTAATCGAATATATTTGATTAACATTCGAATCGAATATACTGATATTTGTATTTGTATTTGATAACAATTCGAATCAAATTTAGTATTCTTATTTGGGGAGAAGGACCAAATATGACACTAAGGTATTTAATGAATCTCACATATGACACTTAAGTTTTGATTGGATCAAATAAACCCTAAACTGAACTTATTCGTTTATTATGAGCACCCACTAACCCTCCCATTCTAACGCCCCTTTGACCGTTAACCAGACCATTTCCCTGCCATTAAACTCACAATTCTCCCTAGCAACCATAAGCGAATATTCATGGGCTGTAAGTGCGAATTACCTGAGAAAGACGACAAGATGAAGCTGTAAGTTTACCGATGGACTCCGTTTCAACGCTCTAAGGTACTCCGTTCCATGTTACTTTGACTGTAAAAATGAGTGGGTTGGTGAATCTGAGGTTTAATCATAGCGGGAGGTGGGTGTTCAAACCATTACAGTACTTTAATGGTGATGTGGATACAATATATGGATTTGACCCTGATTATTTGTGTTATCATGATATATCTCAGAAGTACAAGGATGATTTGGGTTTTAAAACTCTAAAAAACATTTATGTTTTAGAACCTGGGAAAGATATGGAGAATGGACTGTTTTTGGTTCAGGATGATGACACAATTAGGAAGGTGCTAAATCGTATTAGAAGTTACTCTTGGATTGATGATATTGAACTGTATGCTGATCATCAACTGGATGAACCTCTTCTAATCCCCCTAATAGAAGGGTGTAGTGTACCAGACCCAGAGTTTGCTGAAAACGAGAATGTGTTGGGTTCTGAATTTGGTACTGAACAATGGAGAGATGAAACTGGTGAAGTAAACACTGGTGGTGTCCCCAATGGATATCAAACAGATGAAGAATCAAATGGAGGGCAACTTTTTAATGGGGAGGAGGAGGAGAGCGACAAATCTGATGATTCTTGTGATGATGAACCTAAAGTGAACTATGCTGTAACAGATGGATCAGGTTACTTTATGAATGGAATGACATTTGAAGATGTTAAAGAGGCTCGCACAACAATTGCTAACTATGGGGTCAAATTTGGTTATAAACTGCAAATTAAACCAAATGAGAAAAACAGCTTGGCAGTCAAATGTGTGAATGGAGAAGGTTGTCCATTTAGAATCTAGATTTCTCAAGATGGCAAGAATTGTGGCTTGGCAGTGAAGGTGTGTATTCCAGAACACAAGTGTTTCGGGCACTATTCTATTCCAAGTGCTAGTCAAAAGCGGTTAGCAAATTATTTCAAAGGCCACTTGCAAAGAAATCCTAACTTTTGAGTCGCTGATATGAAAGAGGAGGCTGAAAAGAAGCTGAAGATAAATGTGAGCTTGTACAAATGTAAAAGGGCAAAGAGGCTTATTATTCAATAGATGGATGGGAGTTATAAAGCTGAGTTTTCATATCTAGAAGCCTATGCTACTGCTTTAAAAAGAAGTAATCCAGGTTCCAAAGCTGAAATACAACTATGTCCTGATGCACTGAAAGAAGGTAGGAGAGTCTTTAAAAGGATGTTCATTTGTTTTGCTGCTTTGAAAGAAAACTAGTTGGCAGGTTGCAAAAGGATAATAGGTGTTGATGGTTGCTTTTTAAACGGAGTGTGTAAGGATATTTTACTGAGTGCAGTTGGGGTGGATGGACATGGAGCTATGGTTCCCATAGCATGGGCTATAACTGACAAAGAAAACAAAGCCAATTGGAGATAGTTCCTGACGTGGCTTGTGCAAGAACTAGACCTGAAAAATGGCACTGATTTGACCCTTATTTCTGATATGCAAAAGGGGTTAATCATTGTAGCTGAGAATGTCATTCCAGAAGCGGAGCATAGGTTCTGTGCTCGACATGTTTATGCCAATTGGTCAAAAAAATGGAGAGGTGACCAGTTTTGCAAAAAAAAAATTGGATATGTGCGTGGAGCACATATGAAGAAGAGTTGCAAATAAACTTGAAAAGGCTTGGGAAGTTAAGCACTGAATCTGCCTCTGACCTATTAAAATATCCAATTCAAACTTGGTGTCGGGCCTACTTTAGCAGCCGAAGTAAATCTTGGATGGTTGATAATAACATCACAAAGTCCTTTAATGCGGATTCGAAAACCTAGGGCAAAACCCATTGTGAGCATGCTAGAAGATATACGCTTGAAGGCCATGAAAAGAATTTCCGAATTCAAGACAACACATGAGAGAGAAGTGGGTAAATGACCGGTCTCCAACCTGCATGGAGTATTATCAAGCTAACAAAGATGTTGCAACTGGTTGCACTATAATTTTTAATGGTGACATGGGTTTTGAGATTGGAGAGGGTGAAGATAAACACACAGTGTTATTAGATCAGATGATATGCACTTGCAGAGCTTGGGAATTGACCGGCATACCTTGCTTACATGCCATCTGTGCTTTATTTTATAAGAAGATAGATGCCATAACATATATATCTAGGTGGTATCATAAAGATACTTATGTGGCAGCATATCAGTGTCCTTTGCAGCCTGTTCCTGGGAAAGCTTTCATGAAAGTGGATGAGTATGAACCCATTCTACCTCCACCAGTGCCTAACCTACCTGGTAGACCAAAGAAGAACAGGGTTAGAGCCTCAAATGAATCCAAAGGGCCGGGAAGTAGTTCAAAACCTACTGCTGCAACTGCATCTCATAGAGCCTCAAGAAAAGGGCAAGTATAAACATGCGGGATATGCCATGTGGAGGGACATAAGAGAGCAAAATGTCCAAATAAAGACAGAGATGTAAGCTTAATTACTTTTTGAGTTTTATCTTCTCATGCCTAATTTTTTTTATGTATATTATGTATAATATACTGTCTGAATATGAAGACTAATGCTGAAATGTTTATGAACTTGTATTGTGAAAGTCGATTAAGGTGAATTTGTATGTATATTAGGTATAATATTATGTATAATATGTGTATATTATGTATAATATACTGTTAGATTATGAAGAGTCATGTTGAAATGTATATTGAGTTCTATTCTGAAAGTTGATTAAGGTGAATTTGTATATATATTATGTATAATATGTATGTATATTATGTATAATATGAAGAGTATAATATTCTGTATAATATTATGTATGTATATTATGTATATTCTGAATTGTCATGCTTTAGAGGTATAATATGAAGAGTATAATATTCTGAACTGAGTTGCATTCTGAAGATTGATTAAGGTGAATTGTCATGCTTTAGAGTTATGTGTATGTATACTATGTCCAAGGTATATGTGATTAAGGATATGTGTATATATCTTATAATCTACTGTGGCTGCAGGCACCTAATGAAGCAAGAGAAGATATTACATCTGCAAGTGTGAAGAGGACTGCTTCTGTGGCTTTTTCTCCAGTTCCTACCACTACACAAATGCCACAAACACCTATTCCAATGGAAAATATTGAAAGGACTAATGCTAAGTCCAAGCTGCCATGTAGAAGAATTGGGAGGACAAAAGGTAAACAACTGGTGACTGGTTTTGGCTACTATGTTGATGTTAACACTGGTGCAAGGACTATAAACGTGAGTTTTATATACCTCAATGAGTCTTACTTGTTCATTGTTATGAGTATTCCAGTAGTGTTTATTGGAGGTATTGTGGTCTAACTTCATATTCATTTGCTTTGTAATCGTTGTAGCCTGGGATGGAAGTTGAACAAATTGTTTCTAAAGTGCATAATGAAGTGGGACATGATCCCGATGTTAATGTCAAGTTTGCTATTCCAAATGAGAAGGAAATTAGGGGTGCAGCAAGAGTTGAAAAACAGATTGATGTCCCAAGTTATAGGACAATAACTTTCAAGGGTGATGGAGCACAAGTAAAGAAACCAACTAACCTTCCATTTGAAGCACCTGGTTTGCAATGGAAAGGGAAGAAAGCAATTAGCTCAAGACATTTGTTGAACAAGATGCAAAGGAGAAGGCCTTCTTCAGTCCACACTGATAATTCCCAACCCCCACTTTAAATAGAGCTTCTGGAAGACTGTGGTGCTGTATAGGCACACTTTTTGGAAATTATTAGAGCTGTCAGTTTTTTGGTATAGTAGGTGGCAGCATTAACTTTTTGTACTTGTGTCTACATGACCAAGTTTTATGGATTTTTGGAGTAACTGTATTAATGGCACACTTTTGGCCTACTTGTGTCTAATGGTTGTATGCTTTTTGAATTTTTGGTAAACTCATTATGAATTGGTAATATGACCACTAATTATGTGAAGTTATGGTAATGGTATTATATGTTTTCATGATGTGTACTTCATGTCAACTCATTATGAATTGGTTATATGTTTTCATTAAATGTTAATTCATTCCTGGGAAGAATAGGTTGAGTACCAAACTGGTTGCCTTCCAGGACACATGCCTATTCATCGATTTTTTATCACTTTGTTTATTAAATGGTTTAGATCTTTACATGTGTGTATTATTAACTCTACTTTCTTCTTCCAGGCTAGCTCCCCCAATACATTTGTTAAGCATATGTTTATTCTGTTGGTCTAAGGAGCTAAATGTCTCTTACAGTCTTCGCTTTGTTGGTGTATACTCATTTTTTCAGAGCTTTGTAATGGCCAAATTATCACATCTGTGAAAATGGGAGCCAAATTTAGCCTACCAAAAGCAACCAACTGCATTCCAAATTGCAGCCTGGGATAGTATGGAGTACTGCTATAACAAAAATGGTATAACACATTGTCATTCACAACTTTATTAGCACCAAACTGTCCCACAAAGCCACAACAATCCGACCAAATTAAACCAACTACAACACACTTCAGAAGCTACTTTCTTCTATCCATCAATCCTTTGTAGGTTACAACTCAAAACATTAACACTTCAACTAACATAAAAGCATACTTATCACTACAACAAGGACACAAAACAAAACTACAATCACATAATTCCTATTTTTATTTGATCGCCTCTCCAATTCCATATGATCTGCATCCATGCTACTCTTAATCTCTTGAATTTGAAACTTTGACATTTGTTCATTGGAGTTATCATCATATTCCAAGAGTGGTGTTTCATCCAATGGTGTTTCTTCAAATCTCCCTCTTACACGTATGGCCTCTTCCAGTCCTAATATTGAAGTGTGCAGTCTTCTATTCTCTCTTTTTAGATCATTGATAACATTCTTCGCCCTATCTGTTAATGGCTCGTCATGCCACTCAAAAAAACCGCAGCCATCCTTCTACACAAACAAATATCAATATACATCAAATGGGGTTAAAGATAAATTTCAAACTTTCAATTTAAATTACCTCATAATGCGGACACCCATAGTACCGTCTTCCCGGATTCGTATCAATCCAAGATGTCCAAAGCCGCGCTTTCACACGAACTCCAGTTCAATTCTACTTCGGCACTGACTGTACGTCCGCCCTGAATTTTTAAGCTCAAAATGGTTTCGAAACTTTACTGAATCACTGGAGTTTGCCTTGTGTATCTTTGCTGACCTTGATGGTGAACCACTATCGTCCATTGTACTTGTTTCCTCTTCCAAGGTCTCTGCACGCAGTTTAATAGGTAGGTTGAAATTGAATTAGGGTTGTTGGCTATGTATTTATTGATTTGTTGTTTAGTTGAAGGGGGAAGATGCCTGGAACGAATGAAAACAAACGTCTGTTTAACGGGAGGGTTAGTGGGTGGCTCATAATAAACGAATAAGTTCAGTTTAGGGTTTATTTGATCCAATCAAAACCTAACTGTCATATGTGAGATTCATTAAATACCTTAGTGTCATATTTGGTCCTTCTCCCTTCTTATTTGTATTTGAATTTTTCGATTTCGAATCGTCTTATATGAGCTCGATTCTCAAATCGAGCACAAATTATTTGATTCGTATACAACCCTAATCAAGAGGCTATATTTGGAGGAGACTTCAATTACGTTTGGAGAATTTTGACCCAAGTCAAAATTGGAAAAAAATGGAAGTCCGCAATCCCAATACGATGCAAAAGCTAAGTATATTCTTGAATTTTGCATTATTTATCAAATTAAATATGATAAAAAAGATATTATCAAAATCATGATAAAAAATATAATTGATGTAGTATCACTTTGAACTCAGGGGCTAGTCATCCCGAATATTAAATTCAAACTACACATCCCGAGCGACGAGTTGAGCTATGACGTTATTATTTTTTTTATTATTGATTAGTGTGCATTTTTTGGCATTAAAGAACGGACTTATGAACACTCAAATACACCTGATCGAGTACTAACACTCGCAATACCTGGTCATCAGACGAGTGTGATTTATAGGCTCGCGGTCTAAATGTCACATAATGTATACCCTTGTTATGTTCCTGTGTTTTGTACGAGCCATGTGTGCTCCTCTCTTTGGACATCACACTCCGACCTTGGGGGTAGTCATCCCGAATATCAAATTCAAACCACCAAACCCCAAGTGGCGAGTTGAGTCCTGGATACGGGCCACACTCCGCTAAGCATAGAATTCTATATTGAAAATTGGATGTCATTTACTTAGGCTCAAATCCAATAGCGAACTCCAGAAATTGTCACAATTTTATTTCAATGCCTAGGTACATTTGGGTGAGGACTATCATATTGATCTCTCAAGCTTGTCTCGGTTATCTACCAGATGAAGGATTAATGAGGAAGTCATAACAGCCTGAACAGGGAGATCTGAATCCACTACGAGGCTGGCCACGCCTGAGCCGACCTGGACAGCAGGCGACAGGCCTAATGGTCAGCCCGTGGAGGTCGGACTCTCCCTAAGGCTCAAGAACGAGTCACAAAGGTCCAAACAGGAGGATCCAGGTCCATCATGAGGTCAACCGCACCAAAGCCAACTTGGACAGTAGGCGTCAGGCTAAGTGGGAATCCCTTGGAGATCGGACTCTTCCTAGGGCTTACGTGGCCGTAGTTCCGTAACGGACAAACATAAGTGGCATCAGAAGAGTCATGAGCACAAAGGAGGCATTAAAGACGGAAGTTATTTCAGAGACATTACAAGAGTCTCATTCTTAATAAAGTCATTAATTACTATAATTAAGTCTCCTATTTTGAGGAGGGGCAATTCAAGCTCAGCCCACCTCAGAGCTCGAGGAGGTCGGAGTCGATCCGTCCCGTCCAGAACGTCGAGTTGAGATCGATGCAGAGCTCCAGACCGACCTGAAAGCAAAGATAGTCCAAGTCTTGATGGAATACGAGAAGATGGACCATTATCTGGCCAACCTGAATTCCCAGTCAGCACGGTCCTGAATTATGCGACGAAGCAGGGCTTATTGACAATCCCCAAGGGATGTAACGTAGTCAACGGTCAATTTTCCAAGGGTAAGTTCTGTAAAATTCATAAGAGCGACACCCATGAGACCGATGAATGTTACATCCTAAAACTTTATGTGGAAAAGCTCGCCCGTGAAGGACAATTAGATCAATTTGTAAAGAAACTCCGACAGAATCAAGATCCCTAAAAGAAGAACACCTGGAACAGGGGAAAAGACGAGCTAGCCTCGACTTCCCAGAAAAGAGAGGTTGGAGCCCAGTTTGAGGATGATGAAGAAGGGGAAGATTCAGGCCGGCAGAACCGCCCACATGTTAACCAGATCTACGGCAGACCTGTAGGAAGAGACACGGCGGTGGAATAAAAAGGGTGGAATCGCCAGCTCTTCATCGGAGAAATCAACCTCTTTCCTGCTGATAAAAGCAAAAGCGGGAATCCATTATCTTCACCGACGACGACTTACCACCGTGCCCTCCACCTCATAGGGATGCACTGGTGGTCAAGATGGAGGTCTTTGACACTATTGTCCATAGAGTTCTCGTAGACAGTGGAAGTTCGGTGAACATTTTGTACATGAAGACTTTCCAGGAGATTGGCCTTCAAAAGGCAGCCAGCCCTCAAGCCCGTTAAGACCCCCCACTGTCAGGTTTTATCGGGGACACAATCGAGCCAGAGGGGGTCATCACCCTCAAGATCCAGCTCGGATCGGAACCATGCATGCGAACAATCAAGGCAGACTTCGTGGTGGTCCAGTTACCAAGTGTGCACAAAGCCATCTTAGGCAGGCCTCTATTGGAAGATTTGGGAGCCATCATTTCCTAAGCTCATTTGTGCATCAAGTTTTACACGCCTGCCAGGATAGGTAATGTAAGAGGAGATCAAAAAATGGCCAGAAGTTGCTACGTGAGGGCTTGCAAAGCTCATGAAAGGAATAAAGTGAAGGTGAGCGCCATCGAGCAGGACTTGTCGAAGTTTGAGGATGGGCAGTTCAAAGCCGGCTCGAGGTTGCTACGTGAGGGCACTTCAGAGCTCGAGGAGGTTGGAGTTGATCCATCCCGACCTGAACGTCAGGTTAAAGCAGTCCAGATCGGCGGACAAGTCCCTACCATTTTCCAAGTTCTGAAGTAGAGCAATGGGTTCCAATGGACCCTAGTGTGCCAAGCTGCATTTGAAGACCTCAAAAGATACTTGCAATCAGATCTACTGCTCAGCAAACCTGAGGCTGGCGAAACCCCCATTCTCTACCTAGGGGTCACTCAGAGCGCAGTCAGCTCAGTATTGGTGCGTGAGGAATGAACTATGCAGAAGCCGGTCTACTATATCAGCAAAGTCCTCCACGGGGCCGAGCTCAGATATCCATCCCTAGAGAAGACGGTCCTTGCAGTATACATGGCGGCCAAGAAATTTTGGAACTGTGTTCAGAACAGCCAAGACCGCAAGAGTTGTGAAGTGGTCTATGCTAATCAGCCAGTATCAAGTAAGTTTCCAACCTAGAACATCAATCAAAGGTCAAGCCTTGAAAGACTTCCTAGTTGAATGCACTGACCGGGATATGGCTGAAGAAAGACGTCATGAAGAGGAAGATTGGTGGACCCTAATGACCGATGGATCATCATCAGGGTCC